CAGCTCTTTCAGCCTGTCCTCATAGGGGAGGTGCTCCAGTCCCCTGATCATCTTCGTGGCCCTCTTCTGGATCCTCTCCAACAGCTCCCTGTCTTTCTTGTACTGGGGGCTCCAGACCTGGACGCAGTACTCCAGATGGGGCCTCACAAGAGCAGAGTAGAGGGGAACAATCACCTCTCTGTCCCTGCTGGCCACCCCTCTTTTGATGGAGCCCAGGATACCATTTGCCTTCCAAGCCACAAGGGCACACTGCTGGCTCATGTTAAGTTTTTCATCTATCAAGACCCCCAGGTCCTTCTCCACAGTGCTCCAGACCCCTCACAGCTTTGTTGCCCTTCTCCGGACACACTCCAGGGCGGTCTTTCTTGTAGTGAAGGCCTCAAAACTGAACACAGCACTCGGTACTTGGTCTTGCTGAACCTCAATGCATTGGCCTCATCCCAGCATTCCGGCCTGTCCAGATCCCTCTGTAGGTCCTTCCTACCCCCAAATAGATTGGCACTTCCTGCCAACTTGGTGCCATCTGCAGATGTACTGAGGGTGCACTCAGTGCCAGGTCATCAGTAAAGACACTGAAGAGGACAGGCCCCAGCACCGACCCCTGGGGAACACCACTTGTGACCAAGTGCCAGCGGGATTTAACTCCGTTCACCACTACCCTCTGGGCCTGGCCCTCCAGCCAGTTTTTCACCAAGCAGAATGTACCTGTCCAAGCCATGGGCTGCCAGCATCTCCAGGAGAATAGTGTGGGAGACAGTGTTGAAGGCTTTGCTGACGTCTATCTAGACTAAGTCAAGAGTTCTACAAGAGTTCATTTCCCTGTGCTAGTTTCTGCAGTTTCTGCCATACGTTCTGCTCCATCTCACGCCGCATTTAGCCCACGGGTCCCACCCCACTCTCTGGAGACACCAAGGAGAAGAGGAAGCTGAGCTGGTTGGTTCTGCCCCCTGACATGAACTGGAGCAGTAGAGCTCAGGATGGTAAAACAGCTGGCTGGAAAGCCAAAGCAACAACCTATTTCTAAATAGTAACAGTAGATATTCTGTTTTGTTTTGTTAAAATAAGGAATGTAAGAATAATGCTGAAGATGTTATCCTCAGTAGGCACTGAATAAAAGAAAAGAATGGTAAAGCATTACCATTCTACTGACTGGTTGTATTGTTTTTGATTTGCCACAGAAACAGAGCAGTAATAATTATGAGAATAATTACGAGATACGCAAAAGAATTATCAGAACATGCAGAAAAGTAGAACTGGAGTGAAATAAATAAACTGCAAAATGTGTTGAGAAGTCTGGCTCTTGTAGAAACATTTCCTGGTGCAGACTGTCACAGCTGCTTACACATTCCGGTACTGAAAATTAAACCAGAATATTTACAGCAAGATATGTGGAAAACATATAGTTGTACAACTAACATCGTGAACAGCTTAGGCTGATTGCTCTGTCTGATTTCTAGAACTAAGAAGTGTATGAGAAGCACCTGAATTCCTTATTAACCATCTGCCACTGAACCTGTGAATCTGTATAATTGTTTGCACCTACATGAAAAAATAACACAATTGTTTTGTACCAGCAAGGGGGAGGCCAGCAACCTCCCATCAGCCACCTGCTCCTGCAGGGGAAATCCTCTCCAGCCATTGGGGAAGAAGACTGATGTCATATCATGAAGACATTTGTATAAGGTGTGAAAGAGATGCAGTTACTACAGAAAAGTGGCATGAACAATAATCTCCTGAAATACAGAATTGTCTCCTGAGAAATCTGCCATGAATACTGATGGCATTCTATGTGGAGACTTCTGCAGAAGAAGAGATACCACCTCATCTCAAGCCAGGGCTGCAAGAACTGAGCCCCACAGAATCAGAGAATCACAGAATCATTAAGTTTGGAAAAGACCACTAAGATCACCAAGTACAAACATCAACCCATCCCCACCATGCCCACTAACCACATCCCTCCCTGTCACATCTCCACAGCTATTGAACTCTTCCAGGGATGGTGACTCCACCACCTCCCCATGCAGCTGGTTCCAGTGCCTCACCACTTCTTCTGAGATGAAATTGTTCCTAATATCCAACCTGAAATACAGTGCTGGAAGGGAAGGAGGTGTGGATGCCTTCCTGAGCAGTCCAAATCATTAAGAACAACAATGG